AATCAAAATTTGAGAATAATTCGACATGTTATATAAAGGAGATTTTCATAATATCTCTGATGTAGAACAGTTCCATGGAATTAAGCAACTTGAATTATCGTTGGTGAGTTGTTAGGATTCTTCCCAGCAGTTTTTTGTATGCTGGCGGCTTACAACGTACCTGGACTCTGAGCTCAGAGACTGGGGAAGAGAGATGCCCTTTGAGTGAAAGTAATAAGTGTTTACCAAAGAAACAAACAAAAACAATTAATTAGTTCTCGAAAATCGTCATTCCAGATCTAAATTTCCACGTGCGATAACCTTCACAGGCCACCGTGCCTGTCTGTGTTTAGAAAGGAATGGATCTCGACTATCCTTACTTGCGATAAATATCTCTAATTTAAATTAAAACTGCTCTTGTGCACAAGAGACATATTTTAAGGGTTTAATTCTTTGTGTTCAAATGAAAATAAAACCACAATAAGCAGCTCGCGAAGTAGGGTGTGTTCTTTGTTGATTTTGATCACGGTACCATAGCAACTTTGTCTACACTGGTTTCCCGGTGTCGCTATTGACCGCCGAACAGTTTTAATCAAAACTACCTGACCTCAAGGGCAGGTGGGATTAGTGGAATTGAAGACATGACATCACAGGTCACCATTCTTGAAAGCGTTTTTCACCGAAAAATCGAGAAACGCGACGGAAAAACACGAGGCAATTAACATGGCGTAGCCGCAAATCCGAAGCATAACTGGAATCAGTCAAAAGAGAAACCTTGAACAAAAGGTATATATATTCTCTTTAAATGTTAACCAGGAATTTTGTAAAGTTTTTTCTCGTTTATTTGTTTTGGCTTACTGAAACCTGTTTAAACCGATGAAGATTTGGTAATGTTTTTGGAGCTTTTCTGTGTTGTTAAGTTTTGTTTTATAGAGATAGCGTTAGAATTTGAGATGTTAGGTTTAGTTTGGAGAAATCCTGTTGTTAAAATTCCACATTGATCGGGAAGTTTCACGTTGCTTTCTTTACCAGCAAACATTATTCATGCATGAATGATCGTGGTATTGCGGGATGTGAAGCTTTGCACGAGTTGAATGTCATTCAATGAAGACAGACCGAATATAGATAACTCCTGATATATTAGCACCATCATACAAAAGACAGTGGGAAATTCAGTGAAAAGTCTCTATTTCGCCCGCCATTGAAAAAAATTTCATCTTCCTGTGCCATGACAGTGGAAGATCGCGAAAGACGTGCATTTAGATCACAGTCGACTCACGTGCAAATACAAACTCATCTAACAGATTGTCGCATATTCCCCGTATCCACCGAGAGAAAGTATTTATTTACTGTGTAACAATTTTCTCGTTTAATGTTGGTAGTGGCCTTGGAAATAATCAGCTGGTTGTTATATGCCTGTTTATCTCAGCAGAATGGAGTTTGATAACTTTACAGAAGACCTAATTTTAATTGGAATCATGTTTGTTAACTGTTCCAGGAAGTCTAGCCGTGATTAACATTATTTTCCTCTTTTTAACTTGGAGATATCAAACATACAAGTCAGGAAAAGAAAAGAATGTATAAATTGTCTTCTCTTAGACACGCGAATAATCACGGGATTATTACTCCACCAACTAAAGTGACAGTATTGAAGCTTAGCTGAGTAATGCATTGTTGGAAAATAATTTGTGTGTCATTTGGAGTTAAAATGTCTTTTCCTCTACACTGTAGTGACGCAAGGTGCTCTACTGTTTAACGCGTGCGTATACACGTGCTTACGCATTTAGCAGTCTTTTTGTAACACATTGTATTTTTTATTTTTTAATAGTTCTCGTCGCACTGTCCAAAATGGCTAGAATTTCTAACGTAGCTGCTTTCTTCTTGATTTGGAGCTGCGGGTTTTGTTATGCAGGTAAGCAAAAATAGATCTGGTTGAAACAGGAGCATATTTGCTTCTGGTTGAAATGGTTTTTACATGGATAAAAGGAAACTGTTCTCCGTCTTAAAACTTGCATTTATGTGATTTAACTCCCAGTCCAAGTGTTCGTCAAAGGTGCGCACGGAATGGTCTCGTGGAAAGACTCGCCTACTTGGAGGGACAGATCAGGTAGGCTTACATAGAATACACATCTTGTTCTACGTTAACGTTTTTTTCAGATAATTTTTTTGGAAAATAAATGAAATGTTTAAACTGTTTACAAAAAGAAAGAGAAAAAAAATAGTTTCTATCCTTTACGATGAGGCAATGATTTGCTTACAAGGCAATGGGTTATATGTTGATAGTCGACGTTTACAAACGTCATTTGCTCATCAGAGTAATTTTTTCCTAATCAGAATAATAATGTTAATTTTTTTCGAAAATTTGAGTTATGCTTTACTCTGTGACAGTTGTTCCCACCCCTCCACCAGAAGATGTTGCGGCTTACAAGAAGAGAGGAGAAAGTAAGTATAGAAGGTTTATGTAATTTGCAAAGTGCTTAACTAAACCGTTCTCTGTCCCTTAATACACAGCAAGAAAACGAACTCAAGGGCTTTTGCTGCTGCTGAAACCTGTTATGGGATTCGGGAATACTTGGGCGTTGCACGTTTTCGCATCTGCTATATTCTTAATAGAATGAAGGAACGAGTAACACTTACTGATTAAAGCTATTACTTCTCTGAGTTACCGTCGACAGCAAGCTAGTAAGTTGAAGATAATAATAATACGTTTCATATCGTCGTTGAAGTTGACGCGCTTTTGTACTTTGATGTTTTTGTACAGTACCTTACCCGCAGCCAAGAGTGCATGTGGTGAAACATGTCTACGTTGGACCACGTACCAGCATAGCACAAGGTGAGTTCACTGTCAGAGTTATCTTTTATGATTGAAGCTGCGAGACAGTCAGGCATAAGGGTATTGCTAGCTTGTTACAATTACTTCGCTTTTCAGTAGTTACGGTTGGGGGAAGAAAATATATATATCTTATTGGATGTTTTGGTGTGTAGTATCGCTCTGTATTTTTACGAGTTGTGCCGTATTTTGAACGAGTCAAAATACAAACAACAAGTGAAAATATACAGCGATACTACACACCAAAGGACCTATTAAGAGGTTTATTATCCAACTGCCTTAGTCAATAGATCTATCAGTGAAAGAGGAAGAGTGTGACAGTTTTGCGTGCGCGCGCCGACCAGTCCGGCAAACAGGTTTGCTACTGTACAAATAACTGTACNTGTGCTCTTGTAACTTTTAAAAGTTTCAACTTTGACTAACCCTGGTCCTTGCTTTGTTTCTCCACGTCATATATTTTTTGAATGTTTGCTTATCATCATTATACATTCAAAACGTTTAAAATACCAATGCATCATATGACGTAACGTTATATTCACATATACGTCCTTAACATAAACTCTCGCATAACAGTAACTCTCCATTTAACGTATACACCCATCGGTGGCTTCTCCATCAAGATCCTTAAAGAAGAAGGAAGTAATAACCTAATGGGATCATTTAAGAGGAATTAATAAAACTGTAAAATCCGATAAATACGTGAATTTACCCTGTAATTCACTATCACTAATGTAAATTAAACCAAGTAATTTCACGTATTTTTAATTAATGACAGGGAACAAAAGGACCACAAGCCGAGGCTCAAGGAACAAAATTAATTCAGAGATTGAGAATCTTTTAACAAAGTTCCTTATTGTCCTTTAACTAAACTGTGCACAATTAATTTAATTAGATGTCTCAATATCAACATAAACGTTCTCCTAATAGCCTTCAGCTCTAGCGATCGTTGAGGGAATTTTATATCAGGCTATCACGAGAATTCCCTTTTGTCATTTTCCTTCATTTTCATGCTAAGCATGTTAGATTACTTTTTTGATACTAGTAGCAAACATTGCAGATAATGAAACACTAGCTCTTACTTCATATATGCATCATTAAAGAAAGTACCAAAACAACTGCAAGAAGCTGCATAGTGTGCTTTAGGTGACACACCTCTCAGTTGTGGCGTGTCAGGGCTATGCTTAGAAGGTTACCAGACCATAAAAGGCATTTCAAAGGGGCCTTACTTAACTTGGATCCTGTTGTTTTTTGCGGTTAAAAAACACCTGAATACGAGAAACCATTATACTGGTATAGTTTCACAGTGGATAAACTATCCATTGAATGGTGACGCGTCCATTGGATAAAAGCTCTCTCTTTATGACTTAGAAAAATGTTGTGATCATAGTAGGTAGAATTAGATAGAATTTTGTCAGAGAGGGCATTAGAGAAATACCTTAGCTACAGTGATAAAGAGAAGAAAAAACAATTTTGAAATTTTCTTCAGTAATTAATGAAGAATGGAAGAGGATAGACCCTATTCATAAATGGCTGCCTATCAAAAATTATATTATAGGTATTAAAATTAGCCCAACTAACCTGGTTTTTGAGTTGATAATTCAAAATAACTTTTACTGTCAAACGAGGTTAGTTGGGCTAATTCAAATGCATACAAAAGAATTTAAACTGGCAGCCATTTATGAATAGGATCTATAGGATTAAGTAGTTTTAGCTTATATTGGCAAAAGAACACTGTAATATACAAAAAAAAAAAACACTTGGGGAATAAATCGTTAAATGTTAAAAATTGTGTACCTCGTTTTGAAATCATTTTGTCTTCTTTGCATATTACACAGGTGAAACACTAGACGATGTTATGACAAAATTGAAGCCACCGAAGAAAGTCTAGTAAACATCAACAACAACGTTATAACAACGAAACGCAGGAGGCACTACGGAGTTAACGCAACCATGACGACAGCGACAACGAGAACTTTGACAAACAAAGTCTTTAATGAGAAACACACTGGCTATGCACGTGCGTTTTAAATTGTGGCACATTTCTTAGCCGTCCTCCACGAAAGACTGAAGAATGTGAAATAACGCACCTCCATGCGATTTCTGGAGGACGTGAACCACGACGGAGAATTTGGAAATGAAGCTTTACATAAAGATGTTGCGCTGAGGATAGTTCAACACTAATGGGGGCACTGAATATCATGAACAGACCAAGGGACAAATGAAATCATTAAGTACAGTAGGAATTATTTTTTTAATGGAAGTTGTCCTCGGCGTCGCCGTTGTGGTTGCGTGAACTCCCTTCTGACTCTTTTATATATCCAAGCACTCTCAACCTAAGTGGTGACGATGACAATTTTACATCAAGAGGTCAAATGTTGTGCTGTACTTAAATCCACAAATTTCTCCAAACCATAAGGAGAAAGTATGATTTTTACGCTGTTTTCTTAATTGAACTTAACTGATCACGTGATTCACATGTAAATATTTAAGGTAGTTCATTTCCTTGCCAACGGTGGTCACTTCCCAAAAAGACTAACGTTAAATTAACTATTCGAATGGAATACAACTGTGCTCTTTGATGCTAAAACGCAGTGAAAAAGCACTGATGGTCGAAAGGTTATTTCTAAAAGAAAGTTGATCGTGTTTTACCGCATTCTGGGGTTATCTATAACAAATAAAGATTGATTTTATGACGTATGCATTGATTTTTATTGACTTATGGGTGTTTGTATCAGCTTTAATTTGAAGTCTAATTTTGTGACCTCGTAAATATTACATCTGGTGCTTGTCTCCATGGCAACACGCGGTCAAATTAAGGTGGCTCAAAACAGTTTTCGGCAATTTCCATAATTTCATCTTGGCGAGTCATTTATCTTTATCTGTAGATCCTACAAGCATCGTATCAAAAATCTGCTCAATCGCAAGACACAAGAAGTTGCCATAGCAACAGTATGACCTACTAATTTCAGCTTCAACTGCTAATAACTCAAAAACGAGCTTGGTGACCGCAGTTTCTTACTATCGAAGCTTGATTAACAGGATAAGACGCAACAATTGTACATGGGGTTCAGAGCCATCTTAAAATTTCCGAAAATTTTCGGAAAACGTGCAAACGTATGCAAAAAGTATAAATGCCGAAAGAACGTGAAACTAGCACGTAAATGAATATAAAACATAGTCTGAGGTGACATAGCCATTAACCAATGGTTTATGAAATTTTAAAAAAGTTGACACTTTCCTTCCGTTTCAAGACGGACGCTTGAGTCATTGGGATATCACAGTAGACACACCAACCGAGACTGTGAATTGACATCAATACTTTGAAGCAACTAGACAGCGTATGATGTTACCGTTTGTTTTCAACCTTGAGGCCCGGGACCTGGCTCAGGATTGGCCAGTTGGGACAGTGTGACTTCGTACAGAGTGTCATAACTAAACATAACTAAAAATCTGACTTCGACCGTTGATAAACTATCAAGCAATGAAAGTTCTCTGTTACCAGCAACTCTGGAAAGTCATTCTCGTGATCAATAAACACAAACCCGCTTTAAACGGTTTCTGTGGTAATGATATTCTAAACACATAAACACGTCATTTTCGAAAAAGGATATTGATATTATTGACCCATCAGGCGTGATAAGTAAAAGTCATACCTGTTTGTCAGAAGAATAAGACAACGACCAATCACAAAACTTGCTTGTGGCAAGCCACCATGATGAAAACCAACGAAGATACGGTTGATCAACGGATAGCAGCAGCGCTGTGGATAATTTAACTCTCGGGTGAAACACAACGCAAAATTAATTTCAAATCTCTGATTTTAGCTTGGAGAAGAGAACATTTGGTGAGTAACTAGCGAAAAAATTAGATTAGCTTTTCCATCTGGGCTAGCGAGAAGGTAGAATTAAACTGTTTCTTAATTTAGATTCGAGACATGTTGACCAGACTGTCAGAAATTTAGAAACATTGCTATTATGAAATAAATACACAGGATATTGGACTGTGTTTGGTTTTAGCCAAGAATAGCTTGTTCCTTTGTTTGGTCTCTTCTTAAATCTCAGATAACAGCATATATCTAGATAGGACCAAAATCAACTGATACTAATGAAGCTATAAATGGCAATATTTTCGTCTAATTCTGTGGTTACTTATCTAGGCAGAGCAAAATTTGTGTGGTCATATACCTAGACAGAGTAAAAGCGACACACTTGTGCGCTTAAACTCTGATGACTTTCCTCTTAATATAAAAACTGGAAAATCTTAAAATCTAACAGCACGATTAGATTAACTTCGAGTTTAAAATATTTCAGGACAAAATATATCATTCAACGAGTGGTGATAAATATAGAAAAATTGTAGCTTCGTTTCACAGGTTTTCAGTGCCAGAGGAAAGAAAATGGGCAAATATATGAAACATTTGTTGCACGAAAAAATTTCGGTATTCAGCCCGAAGTCTTCAAAGTTTAGGCTGTGATTTTCCTTGGCAATACCAGTGACAACACGATGAAAAGACAACCTGTTTGCCTGGTGTCTCTTTGGTTTTACAAGTAAAAACAACATAGCACAAAATATCAATACACGCGAACATCTGAACGTCTTAAGCGCGGGAAAACTCTTCTGTGACGAAAATAACTTATGGAGGAGGAGGGCCTCCGAGAAAGCTAGCTTACGTTCTATTTCTTTCCGATTAGGAGTTGAATTAGTGTTAGGTTACCAAGGATGTTAAATAATTTATGTTTTTATTAGCAGGATTTTTTGGCAATTAACTAAACGATTGCTCGAGTCAAGCTTATAGAAATTAAAGTTGATTCAAGCTAACTTTTATGGACATTGCACAAGGAACGATTTAGCTGATTACTGAATGTTTTTTTTTTTGCACTGGACTGAGTTTGGATGATTCAATGTATTAGGGATAATTTCCTGTGAAGAAGGCGGAGTTATTGCAGGTTATTATGTAAAAGTTATTATATATATGTGTTCCAAATATTTAATTTGAGGAACGTTTAAGACGGAATCCACCAGAGGTTCGAGTAACAAGTAGACAAAAACCTAGTACCAAGATTATTTACATCGTATTGCAAACTTCTGTACGACTCTTTTCAATATGAAAGTGAAGAATGATCATCGCAGTAAATTTTCCAATTTAAGCAATTGGCCGGAAAGAAGAAGCCTGAAAAAATCAAGGCTTCAAGGGGATTTGAACCCGTGACCTCCTCGAATACCGGTGCGATGCTCTACCAACTGAGCTATGAAGCCACACATTGGGAGCGAGGTCAATTAATTGAGNTATGAAACACTTGAGAGTACTGGTGAAATGAAACTGATGATGAAATTTTGCCTGTGTTTGCACAAGTTCTCTGAACTTTGAAATGTATTTTCTCTCGTTCCCATTGGACATTGTTTTCGGTGTTATTTCAGGCAATTATTTATGTATTTAGCTTTAAAAAAAATCTAAAAATGACTGTAAAATACTTAAAATTATTCTGGTACCAGATTTTTGTCCACTAAAACCTGAAATTGCCCGATTTTCTATCGATGTCGTCTTAATTTTACTCAATTAATCCTTGTCGACAGGTTCGCCAAAATGGGAAGTTTGATACCCATAATCAGTATCTTGTGTGGAGCCGTCGTCTTATGCAAAGGTATTTGAAAAAAGGCAATTATTAATAGCTTATTTGCTAAACTGATTTTGAACCCGGTGTACAGCCAGAGGAACCAAAAGAGTGGGTTCGACTCCTGGCCGAGTTCATTGTGTTGTGTTCAAGGGGAACCCCACTCAGGCGACTGAATCGCTGAGCGAGGTTGGTAGTAATAGCGACACACAAAAGCCGTTATCTTTACCTCAAACAGAGCGAGGGATTAAATTCGGACGCTAGTGTAGAAGGCAAATGTTAGGTTAGTTTAACTCTCTATTCCTTTACCGATTCATAAAGTTAAATCAAACATGAGGAAGGGTTTGAAGCACACCGATTTGTACCTTACCCATGCCAGAATTCGTCACTGATTTACACCGTTATTGCCTGTTGGTATGTAGAATTATTAGGTTACATAACCACCAAAAAGGGCTTAAGGGTGACTTACCATTAATAAACTGTTTGTTCCATTGGAAAACGAGGCCAAACAGTCTTTCGAGTAATTGGCTGGCTTTGCAGACTACAAGAGTCACGTTTGATGTTTCTCTCTTAAGGTTGGGAAATACCATACGCGGGACAAAATGGAATGAATCCATTTAAGAAGAGTGAAATCCCTGATCCTGTTGATACTGGTAAGTAAGCACTTTGAAAAAGTGCATTCACTTAGATGAGTCGTTCGAATCTCGCAGTATCTGCTTAAAAGAATGGGAAGAAAAGTAATGCATAGTTCGGTTTTTTCATGCAATGGCAGAAGTCCTTTATACATACGGTTTAAGCCTCAGCTATGGTTCTGCTCTTAAGAAACAGCAAAAGTTTCCAAAAAAACCCTAATTTCATTTTCCAAAGGAGAGCCGAATTGCGTTGTTTTGGTACGTTAATATGGCTGCCATGTGCCACAAGGAAACACTATGCACATACATATGCAGTCCTCCTATGTAGTCCCTACGCTGTATATGCGCTCGTAGTGACGAAAATGGGTCTCTCGCCAATATCACCTACATAAACCAATCAAGTCATTCGGAGACATTTGAATTACGAGGGAATAATGATCGTCAATTTGTGTTTGTGTATTTGCTTTTCAGCCCAAACTGTTGGAAATCCGCTGCCTTCAGCTTTCTTTGAGGAGCAAATCACAACAGGAAGACATCCTGACGATGACAAGAGATACACAATTGGTATGTCTCACTGTTGTGATTATTAGTTCGCTTCCTTCAAACATTTACTAACCACACCCTGCTTTTTAAGTAAATGTTTATATATTTTAATTTTTTTGCTGTGTTGTAATTTTATTCTCACAGAACAGCTTAACCATGCTGCCAGACACCGTAACGTTTATTTCGACACCGTTGGAGGCGACCCTTATGGTGAGAAAAATATAAATTTCAAATTCTTGACTGGCTGCATTATGCTTTGCTTAGATAGCCAATCATAGAATAGGTCAAAATAGATGGCTAGTCAAAAGATAAAACAGAAGATAACAAAAGTGAACAATACGGGTGGGGAAGGAGTGGGATGGAGGAAGAATGGGGAAGTGAAATTGGACAGGTTGCTTAACAGGAAAATACGTCATGCCAATATATATTCACAGGTCAAGCCGATATGGTGTGTATATTACTGTGCTAAAATAGCTTGTTTTTACACCCCGTGAAATAGGTCACAGCAGTCCCGTGCTTACGCGTTCACATATTGCTGTCCCTTACAAGAAGAGGAGATCTCTTATGCCGGCCGAATCACGTGAGTGTAGTAGGTAGTTAGGTTTTGAGGGAAATAAGGTGTTAGGTAGGTAGGTAGTGTATTGAGCTTCCATGAATTGAGCGAAAATAACGCACAAAAATTTTCTTTGTACTTTCTTGTTAGCTTATTGATTTAACACTTCGAAAACTTATATGTAGTTGGCAAAATCCATTCTCAAAACTGCTATTACAAAAGCACATAATTTGCAGATAAGCCTTACTAATTTGTTTTCTTTGTTCAGCTCAAAATGTCGCTGGAAGTCAGCTCCCGTCAGCTTTCTTTGAAGAGCAGGTTATTGCAGGAAGACATCCAGATGACGATAAAAGATATACCATTGGTATGCCTACTTGTGGCTATTGTTTCTTTTTTTTGTGATCAATGTTATTACACCTTTATAGATAGAGAGCATAATTCAGAGAACTGATTGCTATATATGAGCTATCCTTTTCTTCATTTTTAAAATCAGCCTTACGATTCGTATGGAAAAAAAAAAAAACAACTAAAAAATATTTAAAACCAAATTTTACAATTCGTCAAGTTCTCGTTCCAGATAAGGAAGCCCTCAAATAGTTTTTTTTTTCAGTTATTTTACTTATAAATATTTTTTTTAACAATGTACATATTACTAGAAATAATTTTCCGAAGGTTACAAGTAGATTTTATGTAAGTCATTCTTTCTGATGCTGTTTGTATTACTTTTGTCTTCACAGAGCAGTTGAATCATGCCGCCAGACACCGTAATGTTTATTATGACATGGTCGGAGGAGATCCGTATGGTAGGAAAGAGTCCCGGGGAAACTCTCATATGAAAAGGTCGGGGATGTCCGTCGGAAAATTTGAATTAAACCCCACATTGCGCCAAATTTCGTCACATTGTGACATAATGCGCAACATTGCGCCATATTGCGCCACATTGTACCACATTGCGCCACACTGTGCCTCATTGCGCCACACTGTGCCTCATTAAGCAACATTGTGCAAAATTGTGCCACATTGTACCATATTGTGCCACACTGCGCCACATTGTGCCACATTGCACCATATTGTACCACATTGTGCCACATTGCGCCACATTGTACCACATTGTGCCAAATTGCGCCACATAGTGCCACATTGCGCCACACTGTGTCTCATTGCGCCACATTGTACCACATTGCGCCACACTGTGCCTCATTGCGCCACATTGTGCCACATTGTACCACATTGTGCCACATTGCGCCACATTGCGCCACATTGCGCCACATTGTGCCACATTGTACCACATTGTACCACATTATGCCACATTGTGCCACATTGCGCCACATTGTGCCACCCTGCATCACATTGTACCAAATTGTGCCACATTGCGCCACATTGTGCCATATTGCGCCCCACTGTGCCACATTGCGCCACATTGTACCACATTGTACCACATTGCGCCACATTGTACCACATTGCGCCACATTCTACCACATTGTGCCACATTGTGCTACATCGTACCACATTGTGCCTCATTGCGCGACATTGTGCGACATTGTGCCACATTGTACCACATTGTGCCATATTGCGCCACATTGCGCCACACTGTGCCACATTGTGCCACATTGTGCCACATTGTGCCACATTGTGCCACATTGTGCCACATTGTACCACATTGCGCCACATTGTGCCACATTGCGCCACACTGTGCCACATTGTGCCACATTGTACCACATTGTGCCACATTGTGCCACATTGTACCACATTGTGCCACATTGTGCCACATTGCACCACACTGTGCCACATTGTGCCACATTGCGCCACATTGTGCCACATTGTACCACATTATGCCACATTGTGCGTTATTGCGCCACATTGTGCCACCCTGCGCCACATTGTGCCACATTATACCACATTGTGCCACATTGTGCCACATCGCGCGACATTGCGCCACATTGTGCCACATTGTACCACATTGTGCCACATTGCGCCACATTGTGCCACATTGCGCCACATTGTGCCACATTGCACCACACTGTGCCACATTGCGCCACATTGTACCGCATTGTGCCACATTGCGCCACATTGTACCACATTGTGCCACATTGCGCCAAATTGTGCCTCATTGTACCATATTGCGCCACACTGTACCTCATTGCGCTACATTGTGCCGCATTGTGCCACATTGTAGCACATTATGCCATATTGTGCGACATTGCGCCACATTGTGCCACCCTGTTCCACATTGTACCACATTTTGGCACACTGCGCAACATTGTGCCACATTGCGGCACACTGTGTCACATTGCGCCACATTGTACCACATTGCGCCACATTGTGCCACATTTTACCATATTGCGCCACACTGTGCCTCATTGCGCCACATATTGCCACATTGTACCATAGGTGTGGCTCGAGCTTTATTTGATCCCTAAAAGACACCAGTTAAAAGGGAAAGCCTCGATTACAGGCCGCTGTTCAGGACAGGAGCCCGCGTTAATAGAGTGGACTCGAGAGACTGGCGGAAATCGAGCCTAGAAACGGAAATAAGAGTGTGTTTTTATCATTTATCGTTGAGTGCACGCTAAAAAAATACTTTGACAGCTAAAATAGTGGTGTTTCGTCATGAATACCCTCAGTGAGACCAGAATCCTTGATCTATACCGCTAAGCGAGACGACGCGCATCCCCGACCTTTTCATAAGGAAGTCTCCCCCCGGGAAAGGGTATAGTACGTAATACACTAACAGTTTTATCCAACACTTCTCAAACTGGCATTTTTCGTTTACTTTATTAAAATAGGTCACAGCAGTCCCGTGCTTACCCGATCACATATTGCTGTCCCTCACAAGAAGCGAAGATCAGTTCCACAAGCTGAATTAGTGTCTGCACGTGAGTAAACAAACAAAATGTATAATTCTGTTGATCAACAAGAAAAGCCTGATCGGTTTCAGGTCTGAACTGAATAGTGAAAGTTGTGGAATCGTTGTGCTCGACCATTCAGATACAAGCAACTGAGCGATACCTTCATGTAGATGACTTTTTTATGCCTTTTCTCACATCTTTTTTCACATTTGCACGTGGACTACACTGTTGGTCAAACGCTTACTCTAGTAATTTTAAAAAATAGCTTTTTGGTATTCGGATATGACAAAACTTGCACTCCCTTTCTAACAATAGCTTGTCATAATTCTATACAGTGATTTTTAAGTAGCTACTAGTCATGACATCTAGGCCCTGTGTATCATTTGATTTGGTGAGGATAGGTGAAGGTACAACAAACGCGGCAATCGGTAAGTTTCGGAGTTGTTCCCTATTCAGAGCTAAAAAATGACAAATGACATAAAATGTTTAAGCAAGTAACCGCAGACGATGATCCTGCTGGTATACGTTAGATCAATGACATTATATTGCCATGTAGAAAACAATGGATATGGCATTGGCTTGGAAAACCATTTTGCTAATGTTTCAAAAAATTCATTCCTTTTAAGCTGGTGCCATCAGTCAATATTACCCAGCCGTGCAATCCAGTCCACTAACCATCCAACCAGCCGAGAAACGAGATAGCATTGGTAAGTAAATGATTAACCACATGCAGGATGAACTCAGCAACACTTTGATCAGAGCAGAAAACTTACACAAATCTAACATTGACAATTACCTTACTGCATAACTGTGGCACAAGTTGGGTAAGATAATGTATACAATGAATTTCCAGCCTTCGGATTGGTTGGATTCGCTATGACTACTTGCATTATATTTACTAATAATTTAAAATATTAATTGGTTACTCTATTTTCTAGCCAGGTTAAATTATGCTGCAAGACACAGAAATGTTTATTTTGATTCCGTTGGTGGAGATCCCTACGGTAAGAACACAGTTCTGTAAAGTGCAGTAAACTCGAAAAATATCCTAATGGAAAAAACAAGCAAAACGGAATTGAACTTTCCCATTGGAAATGTCTGGTAACCCAGAATTACTTAAAACAACTTCTTATCTTAGAGTGTGGTACTTGTCGAGACAGCTCACCGTCAACATAATTAACTATCATTGACGACATCTAGGCACCAAAACGTACGAGCGAGTGGCAGCAATTTTTAAGCAGAACAGAAAACCCAGTCTGGAATCCCAAATATTATGGCCTTGGAGTTGTCTTGTCTGATTAATTCTCGGAGTTCGTTTGGCTACCATTAGTTAAAACCTATCACACGAGCTCTCCAACATTTGTGGACAGTCCTGCATTTTAATGAAAGTTGTTGTTTGTCTGCTTGTTATTTCAGAAGTTGTTGTTTCTTTTACTGACGTGTCAACTTGATTTTGTCGCTGTAACTTTGTTGTAGGTTCCAGTAGCCCCGTGCTCACACGGCAGCACATCTTAATTCATCACAAAAAGAGATCAGCTGAAGAGCAGGAGATGAAGACAGAGTAAGAATACAGCCTATACATTGTACAAATACTTAAAAGATTAAGTACGTTTTTCAGCCATCGGAACTAGAACCAGATGATGAAGATCTCTGTTTTTAAGACGTGAATAAGGCCAATAGTTTGTGTCTTATCATGAAGTGGCATCTTTCGGAGTACTCTTGAGCACTCGTGGTGCTTTTCCATTGGTTAATAAAAAAATCGGGAACTTTACTAAGAGATTAGCCAAAACAACAGAGTACATTAATGGATTAGTGCCCAGTAATCTTCAGTCAGAATCTGTAAGACACGTTTTTTTAAGAGAAACCGCTGACGCACGACTGTCCCCTCCAACCTAGCCAGCGCGCAGGTGTATATGATTCGTAAGAAATCATGTGGATTTATAGTTGGCTTTAATTCTTGTCCTATTTTTTTTTATTTAAGGAAAACATTAAGGAAGAAGTTGCGACTCCACTAATCTGAGGCTCTAGCAATGGACTCTTTAACAAGCGCATCAAATCTGAAATCTGTATATATCGAATTTATGACAGTGGGAGATGAATAAACAACCTTATTTTGTTAGTTATTTGTAGTGTGTTCCATTTTATCATAAATGATTCATTTTGGTCCATCTTTTAAAACATCAATGTTCCGAATGTAAGGACCAGTATTTTCTCATTTGGGCTATCCATGTAGCCTGGGGTATTTGTGTTTAGATGAAATTAAATGACTGAGCTCTCTGGGACGGGATATTGAGCCTATACTACAGTATTAAGTGAGGTGTACAAGACTTTACGTTTACAGACTTTGAATTCAGTCCCGGGTAGAAAGGGTCAGGAAGTTTCTGCTCTATCGGAAAAAGTACCAAGCGAAATTATACGACAAACATGAAGAAAATATGACATTTATTTGGTTTTGTTCTAACGTAAATAACGTCGAATAAATAGACACTGCTGCTCTCATACAAATGTTGCGTTCACCAGACAAATAACTGTACCACCAGGCGCCATGTGTACTGATGTTTTTGTAGTTGAAACCTCGCCATTTTCAACGAGCCACTTTCACAATTTCTGAACATTTTTACAGTCTATATTGTTGAAATAAACTCGTTATTTGATACCATCGTATCACCCACTGTTCAAATGTACATCATCTGAAAATTCCATCTACGGTAGCCTCACGATTTCATAGAGTTTAAGATAGTATTGACTGAAATGAACCTCTTCGATCCATGATGCCAGGAACAAAATATTACATCAAGGAGCCCAAAAATGTGACTAATTTTAATGAATTCGTTTCATGCGTGTAGATTATCCAATCAGATGCCGACGATGGCTTTTCTTAGCTTTTGATTGGATAGTATTAACGTAGTCACACATTAGGGTTTCTTCCTTTAAACGGGGAAAGCCAACATTGTGAAATTCTGTTACAATGTTAAAATGTTTCAACTGCAAGGTTATATGTCTTCAAAATACGTTTGAACTCGATAATTTGCAGTTACATTAACTATTTACAAAAGATCAATATACATTCTGTGGCTTTAGAAAGTAATGGCTCACAAGGAACGAGACGATCCCCGCATTGACCTGAATATAAATGATCAAGCGTGTTTGAAAAATAGGATTTAAGTGGCAGGTTGGCTTCTTCTTTTTCTTCCATGTTTTGGAAAGAATACTTCTTGTTGACTTAAAACTTGATAATTGCTGTAAGCTGTGGAGACGAAAACAGGCAAGAATTATTATTATTTCCAAGAAAAATAATAATAACAAAAGAATTATCACCGTGAAGTCTGAGAGGGCAACTTGAGGTTCAGCAATTCAGCATTTATATAGTAAGCGCGTTTTGAAATCTATTTCTATAATATTAGCCAGAAATCTTATGATTTATAAAGAGGCATCGACCATTTTCATGATTTAGTATCAAATTTAGCGGTTATATCATGTCAGTACTGAGGAACTGCTGGAAAGAGCGATCATGAAAACGGTGAGTAAGGAAGTGATGTATCGTAGATGAAAACTGAAAACTGATTGGTCACATCCTGAGGCAAGATCGCGTGCAATAATGATTGTAACATCGCAATAAGCTGGGCGCTACAAGGGAAAAGGAGATGAGGAAGGCTCAAGAAAACGTGTAGACCAACACTAGAAAAGGAACGGAAAGAGGCGGGGTGGAGCTCATGGGAGGAAACGAGAACGATCGCAGCAGACCGGGAAAAGTGCAGGACCTCTGTAAAGGCCCTATGTGCCACGAGGCACGAGGAAGAAAGATGCTAGATGCTTAGTAGCTATTACCAGAAGCTCTTGAAACTCTGGCTAACTTTGTTCGCGTTAAAGGTTGCCCAGTTTCTGTCTTCATTGATAATAGAACTGATCAGGACATTTTGAGTTTAGAAACTGTGTTATTTAGCTGATCCGGTTAAATACTTACACTGACTGTCACCCGCGATGCCATCAAATATGACGTTCCTGTGACGAGCTCGTTGATTTTGAGAGGCTGCAAGAAATAACAGTTCCATACATGAGAAAATTATCAATATGTTCAGATTTAACACTAAATTGGGTAAAACTGTTACAAACGAGTAACAAGCAGTCAGCCTATGGGTTCATTACTTTAGTTAACTTTTACTTTAACCTGTCATTTGACACACAGTGTGTAGTATTTTCTATGATGCAGGTGTCTTACAGGCATCGCAAAATGAACAGATTTTCGATTTTTTAAGACTACCTCATTGCAAGAGTTTACGATAAACAACACAATTCGAACAAAAGCTTTGTAAAGGACAGGGAAAAGAACAAAAGAAAATGTTGTATTAACAGGACCGCCCAAGACAAATCATTTTAAATAAGTGGGCACGCGGAATGGGCGGGATGTACTGAGTCATTACGACAGAAAGTTACAGAAATCGGTGACGTCTAACATGTGTGCCAAACTAGGTTTACAAATGTGCGATTTTACTTACCCAGATACTTGTCTCCAAAGCCCCACTCTTTCGGCTTAGGTTTGGCAGTGGTATGTAAACCAGCCGCTGAAGGAGGTTTTGTCGTTACCAGCACAGGATGAGCGACAGGCGCAGGTGCCGGTGGAGGAGTCGGAGACAGGTGTGATGGAGGAGGCTTTGTCATGACTATCGGAGGAGAATTCAACTGTGATCCTGAAGGCGGATTGTTTAACGTGCCATTTGAATGGGAAGGCACTACAGGAGCTGGACTGGTATTGTCCAATGATGGAGCAAAAGGTGAAACCATGATTATTGGTGCAGTTGTTGCTGACGGTGGCTGTGGTGTTGGAGTCGTTGAGCTGATAGGATTTTTCGGGACAGGGGTGGAAGAGGGTGTTTCCAATGAAGAATTAGTCGGGGAAGTCATGTTGATTAAAGAAGTAGTGTTTTTCTCAAGCCAGCCCAAGCCAGGGAAAGAGATGTTTTGGGGAATAACTGCAACGGAGGAATTTGTTTCTTGTGAAGCGGGTATTGTACTGTTTGAGGATTCGACTTTGATACTTGTAGCATTTGCAGGTACTGTAATTTCAGGAGCAGTGGCATTGACTAGAGATGTTGCATTTATTGTAGGAGATGAACTACTTTCAGCTGAAGCGTTTGTCACTGCGAGAGTAGAATTACTCACGATAGTAGAGTTTTCAGCTTGGGTCGTTTCTGATGAGAAAGGATGCGAGGGAGAGGGGAGAAAGAGGACTGTGTCTTTATCTGGAGGCGTTGCAATGATGTACGACGCATTTTCGTATTCCGAATTTAAAACTGGCAATGATGGGGGCGATGGCTTGGCAGCAGAACTAGAGGCTTGGGTGTTAGCCGGGGATTGAGTTCCAGGAGAGGAGGAAGATGCTGATGCTGGTGGGAATGGAAGAGAAGAGGATACACCAGAGATTCGATTAGGTTCCGAAGCTGGAGGTGGTGCTGGTGCTGGTGCTGGCGCTGGCGCTGGAGATGGAGTCGGAGCTGGGGAAAGAGCTGTTGAAGGATAAGAGCTGGCTACTACGGGCTGTGCAGGGGATTGTGCAGGTGAAGGTGATGGTGAAGGAGCAGCAGATGCTTGGTTAGCAGGGTAGCTATAATAACTGGGTGCTGGTTGTGGAGCAGGCGCAGGTGCTCGGTATGCAGAAGTCGAGGGTGCTCCATAGGCTTGGTATGTAGCAGGAGACGGAGCGCCTGCAGGAGAACCGTAATAGTTAGATGCTTGCTGTGGCGTGGATGGTGAAGTTGTTAAATTGGTCATCTGGTACGAGGTAGGGGCCGAAGGATAGTTGTAAGAAGTGGTTGCTGGCTGTGATACCGGCGCAGACGTTGTTTGTGAGGTAGACAGAGCTGCTGCTTCGGGTGAAGAGGCATAGCTACCACTTATTGCTGATGGCTGAGTATTGTTAGATAGCGTTGTAGCAGAGGAGGAGCTGCCAACATTTGGTTGAGATGCATTACTTTGAGAAACAGATGAACTGTTGATTATTTCGTAAGAAACAGGTGAATTTATAAATGTGGTTTTCGATTCTTGGCTTGTGCTTTCCTGCTCTGATTTCGGGGCGCCCACGTTATACACAGGATAGCTGTAGGCTTGTTCATTCAACGTGTTATTTCCTTTCGAGGTATTCGCAAACGTATTGGTGCTATTAACGGTGGTAGTTATTGGTGTCTGCTGCGCTTCCTCGTTATAATTGCTAACGTAATAAATTGGATAATTGTGGGTACCATTATTTCTTGATGGGCTTTCTGGTGACGTAGTAGGCGGTGCAGAGATGTTGCTGAAAACAGGTGTTTGTTGTTTTTCGTTAGGAGGACTGGTTACATAGAATACTGGATAGCTGTTATTATTTGCATTTTGAGTTGCATTACTTTCGGATGCTTGAGATGGAACAGATGAATTAGCTGTTGCATTTGACATAGGCTGCGAAGTTGTTTGTTGCGAATTGGGCTCTTCATAATTGGACACGTAATATACTGGATAGCCGTTATTTACGGTCGAATTTTGTGAAGATGTAGCTGTAGAGTTATAAGAATTCACTGATGATTGCTGTGAGGTAAACTCTAGTGTGGAAGAACTGTCGTTGCTGAATGTTGTGTCAGCAGATGCTAAAGATGGTTGGGCTAAAGAATAGTTGACTTGCGCAGGGACAACTTGAGCACCATTTTGGGTTGCTAGTTGCTGTTGTCCACTTTCCGTTGTTGTAGTTGATGCAACTGTTGCTTGGGGACTGCTGTTCCAACTTGCTGAATTCGAGGTTTCTGTTTTGAACAAGGCAAAGAGATTTGTCAATATAGCCCCCCATTAGATAGACTCTCATAGACTGTTATGGTTATAATAGTTTTCTGAGTTGCGTGGTGTTGCAGGCAAAAGTTTAGTTCGTAAAACCTATCTTGGTAATAGATGTCCAACAGTAGCAATTAAATGAAAGAATGAAAGATGCGAATGCAGCCATGACACTACTGGAAAAATGAGCTGAAAAAATTTCAGGCTCTGAACGGGATTCAAACCCACGACCTTCGCGTTACCGTTGCAATGCTCTACCATCTGAGCTATCAAAGCCACATGAGAGCGGTCGTGTGTGAGTTCGGCCCTATATGGAATTCATAT